AGAGGAAATGTTTTGAGAATGATGAGGGCAATGAATGTAAAAATGCGCTTTACACAATTGATGTATGTATGGAATGTGATGAGTTGTATGAGCCCCTAATAAAATGATTAAAAAAATAAATAAAAAGCATCCCCCCCCAAAGAAAAGGCAAAATGAATTAAGTCATTATTTTGTTACTTAGCCTGGTCTAAGATTAACTGTCTTTCAAAGAAAAACAGACCCCCAAAAAGGACCACCCTGACTAGAAAGCATACCAACAAGAAATGTCACATGTGATGTGCATGCTTTATTCAGTTTGAGTTCAGACTCCCCCAAACGTTAGTTTATTAAAATCAGTTATTTACAGAATGGAGTTAAAATTATTTTCCATACTAAGAAGATATGCAGAGATTTTTAAAAGGTACATGTGCGTGCGGGTGCATGCGTGCACCTAGGGTTATAGCTTAAATAAAATTACTTACCCAGGTGGTAGGGGAGCTTGAGCAACAGTATTTAAGGGCCTAGGGCCTGCACCTCCAGCTATAGTGAAAGGAATTATTAATCCAGATGCAGCTCCTTCAGATGTATTTACATTTGTATTTGTTGGTGGCAAAGAACCTGTGCTAGAACCGTCACTTTCTGAAGTGGTAGATGGAGAATCATTGACAGATGCTATAAGAGTTCAGGAAAAAATAGAAAAGATTCTTATTTTCTCATATCTAAGTTCAGGAGAAAATTCTAACCTAAACACAAAGGTAAATGAAAGAAAACTCAAGCTGACAATAGACAAGGGAAAACAGTTTTTTAGTAGCTTTCTTAAAAATCAATTTTCCTATGAAATCCTATTCGCTACCATCGAATCAAAGCTGACTCATAGTGACCAAGATTGTAATTGTTTACAGGAACAGAAAACTCAAGTCTTTTTCCTGAAGAGCTGCTGGTGGTTTTGAACTGCCGACCATGCAGCTCGCAGTCTAACATATAACCAGTACACCACCAGGGTTCCTATGAAATCCTACAGACCCCAGAAATTAATCTTTGCTATTGGTTATGTTCTGGGAAATATGACACTTTACAAATAGTTATCAGATACATATTACATCTTTAAAAAATATTCATGGAAAAATCAATTTCTGAAGGAAGACAAAGGTATATAGTCTTGACAGAATTTCAATGAAAAAACAGACAAAATATAACTACCACAACCTACAAAGCAAGGCAACAAGAAATTTGAGCATTCTTTGTTCAGTATTATTAATAAGCCCTAACAAAGAGGAAAGTGTATAATTAAACACAAAGCCATTTTATTAAAATGATTTGTGGCCAACCACAAATACTGTTACTATTCTAAAGGTATTTAATTATTTTGCATTCTCTGCCCACATCTAGGTAAGGGAATAATGAAACATTAAAGATTTGCTTGACTAATCAGAAAAATAGGTAATTCTGATCTCCCTCCCTGGTGATCAGACCAGCGCACTGCCTGTTAGCTGCTCTGTTTCAACCTGTGCTGTGCTACCTGTGGGCCATATAGTGCTCTGCTCCACCTGGCCAAAGCAACCCATGACACGTGGTGGACCGCTGCTGTGCTGCTCTCCACCGTGACACCACCCCATCTGTGTCTCCTATCTGTGGGCTGATGCCGCACCTACAGCCCCCATTTTGCATTGCTACACCTCAAGGCTCCATGAGACCTGTTTAGCAACTTGCGCTACTGGCCACTGCTACACCTTACCACCTCAGCTCCTCAGTTTCCCAATGTCTGCTTCCTTGGCCTTGACCAGTGGCCGCGTGAGTTAAAGACCTTCATTCAGTAAACTAACTGTCCCACAAAAGTGAGCTGGCCTGAGTTTCCTGTACTAGTGTGGACTAATTTGCTGTTGTATTCCTTTTTGCTATATAAATCCTCTCTATATATATAAATAGATAATTCTACTTATAGATACACTTTTATTACATGAGATGGGTAGTTTGTTGTACAGTTTTTGCTTCAAAACCCTGAGTATTATTTAAAATTGTTGGGTTATTTGCCATTTACTAATGGTCCTTTAAAAGTATAATGGTAGTAAGTGAATATCCTTAATGATATGACATGCTCCTGTCAGTTACAAATCCTTCTGGAAAGTTACAAATCCTTAAGATGCATGTAACTTATGTTTTCTATTTCTCAGTGGAACACAGTCTAATTTCACATCTAAAAGAAAAACTTATGGAAAAGGTATTTCTTGGCTCCCTATAAGATTATTTTTGGTTATGTTTTTAAATGTAAAATTATAGCTAGAAAATTGCCTAAAAGGGTCTCTTTACACTTACTTGAGGGCCAAGCCCCAACTAGGATACTACTTATGAGTATGGTGAGCTACATTCCTAGGGCATGGCTGGAATACATACCTGGTCTACGTGGGGTAGGTGGAGGTGGTCGTGAAGGTCTTGGAGGCCTAGAGGGTTTAAAACCACCATTTGAGAGTGATGGAGAATTATTCCCATTGACCCTCCTATTTTCACCAGATCCTGTATCCTCAGAGTCATCTGATCCATTTGTGCTGTCTCTGAGTAAAGGAGGGAGGGAGGTGAAGGAAGGGAAAAAGAAAACTTTTGAATTTAACAAAAGACCAACAGGAAAAGCAAGACCTACATGTTTCAGGAGTTTTAAAAAAGTTTCCTAAATTTCAGACCACCCTCAGGTAGTCATATATATAATCCTTAGAAGTTCATTCCGAAATGGAATGAGTGGTTGCCCAAGGGTATAGTACTAACACTTGCGATGATTCTAAACTATTAGATTTACTGGTTTCGATTTTTGGATTTCAAATCATCCAAAATATGAGCAGAAACGTTGAGTTTTCAAAAGATCGATGTCACTGTCACTAGGCTATTACAAACACAATAATGCCACCACCATGTTTATTTCCTTAACTCCCTGTGCCAAGCCCTTTTTATTTTCCTGTCAGAGAAAAAAAATCATAGCTAAAGTCTCTTGATAGCTAAGGAATGAGAAGTGACAGATGACTCTGGCAGCCTAGGAACATCAATAACAATAAAATGTATCCTGGCATTAAAAATAGCAATAAAATTAATAGTTTTGTAAAACAAAGATTTTACTAAGCCCTGTACAACTATATAGAGCCAGTCTTGCCCCCCCCCCCACTGCCCCACCAAAAAAAAAAGTTCCTCGGTGGCTTTTTATATTGGTAGCCCACAATCTCCTAAAATGCGATCACTTCAGAGACTAAAGCAAAATGGCACATTATTCAACATCTTAACTGAGCTGTCCATACCATTCGGAAATCAACTGTTTTCTCCATCTTCTAATTTACTTGTTCCTACAGGGCACACGTCAAACCCTTTCCAGCTATCCTCAACTAATACACATTAGTCCCAATATACAGATGACGCCGGCACGCTTCTTTCCAGACATCTTACGACTGAATATTATTCATCCCTCACATAGCACAGTGAGTTACGGCTTGGGTTGCTAACGACACAATCAAAATCATCAGTCATTCTGTGGGGAAAAGATGAGGCATTCTACTTCTGTAAAAATTTAGTCTCAGAAACCCAAAGGGGCAGTTTTGTAGGGTCGTCTAGGGTCACTGTCAGAATTCACTCAATGCCACTGAATATCTACAATCCCTCCTTATCTCAAAATTTTCTATAACTATAATCATCATATGGTTTGTTTTCCATTTCTGAAATCATCCCTCTTTACCTAGTCAAGGTTAATTTGTCTACTTGTATCCTCGATTCAAAAGTTTGTTGAAACACTGAATTAGAAGATAATGATCTGCTCCAGTAAAGACATATGCCCTTGGAAATTCATGGGCAGTAGGGGTAGAGCAGTTCTACTCTGTCCTGTAGGGTTCACTATGAGTTAGAGCAGACTCAATGACAATGTTTGTTTTTAAAGTATACATCAATCAAGGACACAAACTACTGTAGTAGTTTATCCTTTCTGTGATCATACTATTCCCTCTACCAGATTCTGTTTATTGTTGGGTGCTATCAAGTTGGTTCCAACCACAGCAATACTATGCACAACAGAACAAAACACTGCCTGGTCCTGCACCATCGTCAAAATTGTCTCTGGGCTCGAGGGCTTTCATTTTCACTGCCCCTTCACTTTACACCAAACATAATGTCCTCCTGTGAGTGGTCTCTCTTGTCAACATGTCCAAATTATGTAAGACGAAGTCTTGCTATCCTTGCCTCTAAGGCAGTGGTTCTCAACCTTCCTATGCCATGACCCTTTAACACAGTTCATGTGGTGGTGACCTCCAACCATAAAATTATTTTCATTGCTACTTCATCACTGTCATTTTGCTACTGTTATGAATCGGGTGACCCCTGTGAAAGGGTCGCGACCCACAGGTTGAAAACCACTGATCTTAGGTATCTTCTGGCTATTATTTCTTCTGAGACAAGATCATTTTTTTTCCTTTCAGCAGTCCATGGTACTTCGGCAGCACCACCATTCAAATGCCTCCGTTCTTCTTTATGCAATGTCCAACTTTCACATGCAGACAAGTGAACATACCATGGCTTAGGCCAGGTAAACTCAGTCCTCAGAGAACCATCCTTGCTTTTTAATACTCTAAAGAGGTCTTGAGCAACATATTTACTTAATTCCTGCTTCCATGAGCACTGATTGTGGAGCCAAGCAAAACAAAATCCTTCACAACTTCAATCTTTTCTCCATTTATCACAGTGTTACAGATTGGTCCAATTGTGAGGACTTTAGTCTTCTTTACATTGAGTTGTAATCCATAGTGAAGCCTGCATTTTTTATATTCATCAGCATGAGCTTCAAGTCATCTTCTCTTTTAGCAAGTGAGGTGTGTCATCTGCATACTGTGGGTTGTTAATAAACCTTCCTCAGATCCTGAAGCTGCATTCTCCATATAATCCAGCTTCTCTGATCACCCGCTCAGCATACAAAGTGCTATGGTGAGAGGATACAACCCTGAATCACACCTTTTCTGATTTAAACCCTTGCAGTATTCTCTTGTGCTATTTGCATAACAGCCTCTTGGTCGGTGTACAAGTTCTGCATAAGCACAATGAAATGTTCTAGAATTCTCTTCTCAAGGTTATCCATAGTTTATTATAATCCACATAGGCAAAATGTCTTTGCGTAGTCAATAAAGCACAAATAAACATCTTTCTGGTATTTTGTGTTTTCAGCTTAAAGGCATCATCAGCAATGATGTCCCTTGTACCTCATCTTTTCTGAATCCTGTCTGAACTTCTAACAGCTCCTTGTCAAAGTAATGCTAAAACTGTTGGTGGATGACACTTGAGCAAAATTTTACTGGAGTGATATTAATGATATTGTTTTATAATTTGAGCATTCTATTAGGTCACCTTTCTTTGGAATGGGTACAAATATGGATCTATTCCAGTTAGTTGGCCAAGTAGCTGTCTTCAAAATTTTCTGGCTCAGACAAATAAGTGTTTCATCAGCTTGTTGAAACATTTCAATTAGTATTCCATCAATTCCTGGAGCCTAGCTTTTTGGCTAATGCATTCAGTACATCTTGATCTTCTTCCTTCAGCACCATTGGTTCTTACTCATATGCTACCTTTTGAAATGGTGGAACGTTCTTTTTCGTACAGAGAATCTGTATTCTTTCCATCTTCTTTTGCTGCTTCCCATATCATCTGATATTTTGCCCAAAGAATCTTTCAAATATTGAAACTCAAGGATTGAAGTTTTTTTCCTGATTTCTTTCAGTTTAAGATCTGCTGACAAAAAATCCTATCAATGTGAATGAGGGGGAGTACAGAGTGGAGACCCAAAGCCCATCTGTAGACAATTGGATAACCCTTTATATAAGGGTCACAAGGAATAGACAAGTCCGTCGGGGTACAGTATACCGTACACCGATGAAACATGCCAACTTTTCTCTAGTTCTTTAATGCTTCTTCCCCCAAATATCATTATCCCAATTCTACCTTACAAATCCAGCTAGACTAGAGCATGTAGACTGGTACAGATAAGAACCCCCAACACAGGGAATCCAAGACAGATAAACCTCTCAGGACCAATAATGAGAGTAGCCATACCAGGAAGGGAAGGGGAAAGCGGGGAGAAAAGGGGGGAACCAATTACAATGATTGACATATAAACCCCTCCCAGGGGGACAGACAACAGAAAAATGGGTGAATGGAGACAGTGGTCTGTGTAAGACATGGGGAAAAAATGATAAATTATCAAGGGTTCATGAGGGAGAGAGGATGGGGGGAGGGGGGAAATGAGCTGATACCAAGGGATCAAGTAGAAAGAAAATGTTTTTTAAATGATGATGGCAACATATGTACAAATGTGCTTGACACAATGGAAAGATGTATGGATTGTGATAAGAGCTATATGGGCCCCCAATCAAATGATTAAAAAAAAAAATCTGCTGAGCATGGTTTTCCCTTCCAGTTTTCCAACTTTAGTCTTTTCACAGTTCATTGTAATATTTTACTTAGTCCACAAATATGATTAAGCCTATCCATCTAACTGCTCAAAGGTATTCTCATTCTCCTTTCCTTTATTATATATTTATGCAAATAATATACGTAATGCAATTTAATTTTAAAAGGACTTCCAACATATAATTTCTGATAACAAGTCACATGCTCATTTTGGAAAATCTTGCAATCCCAGTCCTTTTTCATGGGATATGGTTGTATAATGCATTAAAACTTTCATATCCTGGATAGTTTGTTTTATTAAATTACTTAATTTCAAACTATTATAAATGAGTAAAGATCTACAGAGAAAATTAGGTTTCCCTTTAACAATCCATATATATTTTATTTCATATCAGTTTGCAGCCCCACACTGTAACATCACTTGTCCCACTTCCTCTTTGTGCTTCCCATTTCCATACCTCCTCCTCTTCGAAACACTTCTGAACTTAGTCCTTAGAGAAATGCTGCCCTTTTGATCTCATATTTGATTATTCTAAGTTGTGTATCTCACTAAGGTTATTCTTCCCTTAGAGATTTGTCTATGATTTGCCTGCAACATGAGTCATGATACTGAACTCATTTTTAGACCTAAAGGGGATATAACTGAGGGTCGTAGTCTTGGAGGTCCCACCAGTCTCTATTTGACCAGTAAGCCTGGCTTTTTTTTTTAATGATTTTGAGTTTTCTACATTTTTCTCTAAATTCGATCCTTTACAGAACAGTTGGTAGTGTCGGTCGGGCACCATCTAGTTCTTCTGGTTTCAGGGTCATGGAGGCTGCTTTTTGTGTGCTCCATTAGTCCAGTGAACTAATTGTTTCCATACGCTATATGTTTTCTAATTTCTTCACTAATTTTTCCACGAGACAGGGAGAATCTTAGATGACTGCTTTCAAGATTTAAAGACCCCCCCTAGGTGTTATTCTCCAAAGTAGGATGTAGAACACTGTGTCTTTGTGAACTATGTTGTATCAATTAATATTAGTATTCCTTTGTTTTTGCTCATTATGCTGTATAATTTCCCACTTTTTATAACTTATCATATAACCCAAACTATACACCAATATCAAAATAGTTTTTCCTATAGAGTTCTGACCATACTAATTGCCTGTTCAAATATTTTCAGACACGTTCTTATACAGAAAAAGCCAAGAACATCTTTAACTGAAAGCCAAAACTTCTATCTAGCCCCAACCTATCTAATATTAAAAATAATTTCCATTTATTGAGAGATAAATGTGGTTGCCACAACAGGCTCGCACACGTCACTGTGAGTGCGGCAAAAGATCAGGCCATGTTCTGCTCTGTTGTACTTAGGGTTGTTATGAGTCAGAACCGACTCGAAGGCATCTAACGAGAACTTGTGCTATAATTTCATCTCAATTTTAGGTGGCAGTATAACATGACAGTTAAGAGCTCAGGCTATGGAAGTATGACAGTTTCCAATTCAATTGGGACACTTACACCATAAACGCAGAAAGTTTTCCATTTCTGAGTCTGTTGTCTTGTCATCTGTGAAAATGAGACAGTAGCTCCCACCCTTATAGAAAGTGTAATGAACTGAAATAATAGGCAACATGTTCAGCACAGTGCCTAGCACATAATGAGGTATATGTATTTTTTTCTTTTCTTCCAATTTGCTCTGCTTTCAGCCAAACATTGATTTAAAGTTTCCTAAAACACCGCCTTGGTTCATCATCACAGCTTTATGATTTTTATTGTTTTACCTTCCATCAAAATTCCTTCCTCTAGCCAATGCCCCCAATTCATCCTCATCTGGGACATAATTCTGCTTTAAGTTCCTGGGTCAAATGCCAGGTCTTTCATAAAGCTTTTAGATTGTCTTGTGTATATTTTTATGACATTCATGTATGGATGCAGTACAACTGCAAAAGCCAGAATCTATGTAAGGTGAAAACATGAAAGAGGAAAAAATTCAAATATTTTTCATTAAAACAAGCTATACAATGGTGGTAAGACTGCATGCTGTTAAAAACAGAACACTTGCAATACTCAGAAAAACAAGGCAGTTCTGTTGAGTTCTGGCTCTCACAAAATTCACTGTAAGTGTAAAAATAAAAACAGTCCCAAAAATGCCAGATGAAAATTAGCTATGAAGACAAAGAATATGAGATTTAACTGAAATGAAATCTCGCAACAATTTCTGAAGGTCTGGACTTTAAGAAACAGATACACTGTTATGTAACTGCAAATATTTCTCATAATGATTTGTTGTACTGAGAAATACCTGGTGGTTCTCAAAGTGTTATCTGATCTAGCAGTAGCAGCGTTAAGTGGAAACCTGTTAGAAATGCAAATCTTAGGCACCATCTGAGACCTCCAAAAACTGGGGAAGAGGCCCAGCACAGTAGTTTCATAAGCCCTCCAGGTGATTCTAATGCTGAAACAGTAAAACTGCCAAAGCCAGAACCTATGTAAAGGTAAAAACCTGACAGTGAAGAACCTCTGGGCACTTTACTGGGGAGCTGGATCGGAGTTGCGTTGGGCTCATGACACAGTGTCATTCCTTTTGGGTACTTTTGGACAGGCCTAAGAGTTTTGTAGCACTGTGTAAGAAGGGAAGAAGCCAGGCCAAGAGGCTGAGGGCCAGAGAGAGACAAAGAGGTCTGCATAAGGGCACAACGGAGAAAAACAAACCCAAACAAACCATCCTGACTTTAACAATTCTATTCTGAACATTTCTCATCTCAATTGTAACCTGTTAACTTCTCTAATAAACCCTATAGGTATGAGCACTGTCTTGAGTTCTATGTGGCCAATGCAATCAATTATCTAGCCTAGCAAAAAAGCCTGGTGTGCTATGGAACACTGCAATAAAAGTAGAAAGTTCCATGGGAAGGGCCTGTACTGAAATTTTCACATCATTTAACAGATTACAAAATGATTTGACTCCATTATTTCAGGAATGAAAACTAATGCAAAGGAATTCAAGCTAAACACAAAAGATACACTCAATCAAGGAGGTGTCTAATATTAGAAAATTAGAAGGTACTGCTACTGAGATTATTTATGACAGTGATTCACTTGGGAGGATGTAAAGTGCTGATTTAGTAAGAAGCATGAACCTGAAGCTCTTTGGCTGCCTTTGTAAGAAGTTTATAGTATATCCAAAGTGTTCTAAGAAAAACAAAATGAAACAAAAACACAATTTTCCCCCAAATGTTCTAAGAAAGAAACATTTCAACAAACTTCAAAATCAACCCCAATCAAACAAAAAAGTGGTATATAACAGAACCTAATAATGAGTATACATGATTCTATCATATTTTCACTTATTAACACAAAGTATAGGCTGAACATACAAAATAGAAAAGTTAAGTGCTGAAAGCAAAGTGAAATATTAAAACACTTTATGGAGAAATGTTAGGAATTCAAGACATTTTTTATTATAATACTAAAGAGAGGTACAGTATCTTTCAGTAGACAGAAGTGCGATTCTAATCACAGTAGTTACTGTGCCCTGAAAAAAAATCACCATACTCAATATTCTGCCTCTTGTGTGATTAGTGTAGGAGATGGTTTTTTGTCCCTTTAAGAGCAACTCTATTAAAGTCTCTCTTAAATAAGGCACAACAGTTTAGAAACTGATTTTCCTAAAGATCTTGAGATGTCTTTTAAAATTTTTATTTGTCTCCATACGTAATAGTCTAGTCCAACAAACTCCTCTGTACCTATCAACCTAGCCTTAACAACCATCAGTGTTCTTTCCTACTTGCTTATCTTTGCACCATCTTTCTGAATGTCTTTCCCTTATCTGGGGTGACAATGCTTTTATGGTTCTCCCCTCTACTAGTTTTTTGGTACATCAGTTTCTTCCTACCCACTACATATCTAGTTTAGGAAAAATAAAGCATCCAATGAAATAATATAACCAATTCATTTTACTTAATTACGCTTTAAAAATTTAAGACCACCTCTTTTCCTAATCTCATCTTCTATTATTAATACCAGTTTCCAGGATAACCAATAAGCATTTAAAATTTGGTAAGTCAGTAAATACAAATCAAAGCAGATAAGCACATAAAAGAGCTAAACGCATGCAAAAACAGATGGTACAAATCTGTACCACAATCCTTGTTTCTGAAGAAGGCCCAGAAGACATCACTGCTAATATTGTTCTTTGTGCATATGCAAGTTCATATCCCAGCTTTGCTAGAAAAGAAACCTCACAGCCCAATGATTCCCGAGATGCTGAACTCCCTACATTTGGAAAGGGCACCAATGTGTTTATGTTCTATAAAGTGCATGTGGTATTGGTGATGTTTACCTTCTACAAGGTGAAGTATAATTGTTCATATGGTTAAAATAAGTTTGACCAAAATTAAGTGCATGTTTTTTGTTATATGTAAGAAATTTCAATTAGTCAATGTATATTAAACCAAAAACCAAACTCACTGCCATCGAGTCCATTTCAAGTCATGGTGATCCTTTAGGACAGGCAGATCCTTTAGGACTGCCCTTGTGGGATTCTGAGATTGTAACTCTTTACAGGAGTAAAAATCCCCGACTTTCAATCAAGTTATGCTAGGCATGCCTATTCCCTAGTAGAAAAATGGGGCTTTCTATTCCTTTTAAGAATTGGTAGATGTTCAACCATTTCAAGAAGTAGCATCTGATCTAGAACTAATAGTATAGAAGAAATCTAAGCTGCACTACAGGCAATGGAGAAAAACAAGGCCCCAGGGATGGAAAGAATACCATTTAAAGCAGGTGTCCTCAAACTACGGCCTGCGGGCCACATGCAGCCCGCCAGGTGTTTTTGCCCCGTTTGTTTTTTTACTTCAAAATAAGATATGTGCAGTGTGCATAGGAATTTGTTAATAGTTTTTTTTAAACTATAGTCCGGCCCTCCAACGGGTCTGAGGGACAGTGAACTGGCCCCCTGTTTAAAAAGTTTGAGGACCCCTGAGTTAAAAGCTTGGATCCACAGGGACAGTTCTACCCTGCCCTATAGTCACTTTGAGTCAGCATTGACTCAATGGCAGTGAGTTTGATTTTGGTTTATTCCCTATTTGGCTGAGAGTATGGAAATCTTTCAATTAACTATTTTCCTTTTCACCTTGAACCCTCAATTCTTCACTTTCATTTAGTGTAACATCAATCTGAGCTTGAAGTCCCAACTAAGATTTCTCTTAACTTTTCCTTGTCTCTTTCTTCCATCTACAAAAAGCAATCACTGTAAAACCTTACCTTGTTTCATCCTTGGGCCTGGATCCATCATCATTCTGTGAAGTACCTTTGATAGCAATAAATTTAAACAAAGTTATGCTTTAAGAGATTAATTTATACATATATATATTTCAACCAAAGAAATTTTTAACACGTCCCCTGCCTCTAAACATTATCATGTAAGTTAAGCCTAGATATTTCTAGTAAAGAACATACTATAACTTAGCTAAAAAAATTTCAAGGAAACAGTTTTAAAAGAAATGTTTACATAGATAAAATAAGTTTAACCAAAATACTTTACAAATGTTTATTATTATGCAAAATGTTAATTAGTTGCACTGCAGTCAATTATTTAATACGACTTTTCTAGCCATATCCTTTATTGCCTCCACCAAAGGACTTTCATTTTCTCGATGGGTCTAGGTAAGAAGGTGTGGAAAGATACTGATTACTTTACATGGTTCAGCTATGAGCAAGAGTTAACAGGGTTCATTGTGATTGCCATCCTGCTGAGTATGAAACAAGCCACTTCAGAACCAGGAAGGGAGGGATCTCACTATCACAAGAGAAGAGCCTTTGGACCTTGAGATCCCTGCACAATGAACCTCCCTCCTTGATCTAGGTGGCAGGTCTGACCCCAAAGGAGCAATAAAGGAGCATAAGAGCTAGGAGCCAAAAGGCAAGAGGGTGGTGGTCTCCCCAGGCCACAGAGTAAGTAAAGCTGAGTGCTTTTAAGCAGAAGGCTGGCTTGTGGAAAGAATGTTACATGCAGGCACTTAATTGGAGGTGCTGAGTTTGCTAACCCTCAGGGCTGAAGCTGAATGTCTCTGAGTGCTTATATCAAGTTGAGGTTTACATCAGAGCGTCATGCCTTGGAGCATTTAGGTGCAACCCCAAAAGAGCTTTGAAGCACTGCCCGAGCATTCCAGTATTTTTTATTCCTGTGTGCTCATCCCAAAATCTTAAAAGTAGCTTTGTAGTTAAAAGCAAACAAAAAATCATGCTTAAACAGATCGGACACCTATACAATGAAAGCATACAAACAAAAATGTCAGCACTAGAAGTTTCTATTTTATGAATGTGATACTCTTTAAAATTCCCAAACCAAATTTCCCCCAGAAAAACTTATCTGATTTCTAAATGCATGCTTTTTATCTACTCTGAAAGATCTAAAAAGATGGGGGGGGGGGATCTAAAAAGATGTTCTCGATTAAACAGTCAAAAGGTTCCTCCCAATAAAAAACTAAGTTAAAAAAGATAAAAGGATAATGTGTCATCAGGAAAATCCAGTCTTCACATATATTAAATATATAGTAAGCTATTATTTGATGACTTCAATACCAGTATTCAGACATTGTCCCCCTCTCGAGTCCTAATAAACAGTATTTTTAAATTGAGATATTTATCCTTTTATGGGATTCAGTGGGAAACAGCTGTCCCATTTGTAGTGCACATTGTCATCTGGTGGGGCTTCTATCCCTACATAAATCTAAAGAACCAAGTCTCATTTCACCAACCCTAGTAGACACCCTTTGAGAGACCTGGTAGTGTTGTGGTTATGCATTGGGCTGGGGCCTGCAAGGTTGGCAGTTCAAAACCACCAGCCGCTCCAAGGGAAAAAAAGGCCGGCTTCCTACTCCTAAACAGTTCAGCCTCAGAAACCCACAGGGACAGTTTTACCCTGTCCTACAGAGTCATTATGAGTTAGTATCGACTAGACAGCAGTGAAAGTTCTAAACCTGTATGAAAATACATATAACCATTAAAACATTTTCCCATTTAATTCAAAACATCTTCTGTGATGGAAAGCACACCGATTCAACAAGATTCAAAGCAAAAATAATTCAGGCTTGAAAAGGTTAAGGTCTACAAAAAGATTTTTTTTTTAATAATCACCCTGTATGTTTATCCACAAAAATGTCAGACTTAACATGCTCAGGAATAAAAACAAACCTAAAATTTTATAACATTGGGGGAGCGAGGCGGGGAGGTGGAAAAAAGGCGGAGCTCATCCCAAGGGCTCAATGGAAAGTAACTCTCTAGAAAAGAATGACGGGATACATGTACGACTATGTTGGATACAACTAATGTACGGTTTGTAACAAGAGTTGTAAGAGCCTCCAATAAAAGGGGGAAAAAATTTTGTAACATCAAATGCACACACACAAACACACATAGAGGCAATTTTCCTCCTTAGGTCTTATCCAAGCAAACATTGCTGGGATTGCTCAAAATTCAATTTTACTACTAACCTCAGAATTTCATTTCTGGTATATAGTTAAGGTTACAGCAATCAAACCAATCATAACAATTTGATGTCGTTCCAAACAAAAATAGTTATGAACAGAAATACATTTTGTTTGCTGGCTTACAAGTAATTATCTTATTTATAGTTAATAGATTTTTTAAAGTATGAAATCGATACTGCATTGGAAAGAAAAAGCAGCATCTCTGCCTGAAGTGGTGGAGGCTAAGACCTGAGGCCCCAGAGGGTGTGGCACAGAGAGCATGGGACAGAATAAGAGATCTAGACCAAGACAGGGGCTGAGGTAAGTAGACCATGAGACAGAAGAGAGGAAACATGCCGAGAGTAAGGGACTGTGAGATACAGGCAACCCTCCATGCTCACAAAGGCAAAACCCAAGGGACCATGTGGCTGAGAGACAGACAGACTTCGCTGCTGGCAGAAAAGTTGTTGCTGTGAACCAATGATTGTATCCTTACTGTTTATTAATCCTGACTTTCCCTAATTTATTAATCCTTAATTTCCCTAATAAATCCCTGTACTTGAGAGTTTTGTCTATGAATTTTGTGTTGCTATTACAACGGATTATCAAACCTAGCAGAGAGGTAGTCTATCTTGGGAAGAATGGCAGGTATACAGGTAAAGAAGGATGAAGGGTGGAGGCATGTTTGACCTCTGCCTTAAGGCAATGGGGTGGAGTTGGATTCTATTCCTCCCTTATGTAGCTGGAGATCAGACATGGCCTCAATACTGTTTACTCAAAAGGAAACATGGGACAAGACCATGAAGAAGGGACCAAAAAGGTAGTACCCTTCACAATAGCCAAGCACAAATTGAAATATCTAGGGATATACCTGACTAAAAAAAACAAAAGATCTGTACAAGGAAAACTACAGAACACTATTACAAGAAACCAAGAGTAACCTCCATGGAAGAATAACCCATGCTCATAGATCAGAAGACTTAATATAGTAAAGATATCAGTTCTGCCCAAGGCACTATCTAAGTTTAATGCTATCCCAAATCAAATACCATGATCTTTCATCAAAGAATTGGAAAAACTGATTACCAACTTCACATGGAGAGGGAAGAAGCCCAGAATTAGTAGAGAACTCCTCAAGAAGGACAACAAAGTGGGAGGGCTTGCTTAACCTGGAGGGAGGGGGAAAAATATAAGCTGATACCAAGAGCTCAAGTAGAAAGAAAATGTTTTGAGAATGATGATGGCAACAAATGTACAAAAGTGCTTGACACAATGGATAGATTTATGAATTGTGATAAGAGTTGTACGAGCCCCCAATAAAAAGATTAAAAAAAAAAAAAGACATGGGTAGTGGGGGAACAGGGCACTAACCCACCCAAGGGGAGGGTATTGTTTATATCTCCACAAGAGAGGGAGAGAGGAACCAGATTTCAACCCGGTGTGCCAAGACATGAATGTAACATACTGGCATGAAGCAGTGAACCAATAGAGAGCCCCAATTGAAACTACGTGGACATCCCTCTCCCACAACCCTCTCTAGAAGAACGCATTTCAGATGACAGCACTGAAGCTACAGCTCAGGGAGAGGGGTGCTTCAGATCAGAGCACACACAAAGAGGGTAGGAGAGAGAGTGGAACACATCCTGGCCCACCAAGCCCCAAGGATGATATTCTTGCTCAAAGCAGCCAATGCACAGAGAGGACCATAGAGCTGGCTCTACCACGAGACATGATGTCCCTCACTGACCCATAGCACCACAGGTGACAACACTGAAGACACAGTGCAGAAATCGTGCCTGATCTGACCCCACCACACCGGGGCGAAACACTAAGGGTGTACAACAAAGCAGCAAGGGGAACAAAAGCAATGAAATCTCTGAGGAATACAAATAATAGACATTGAGGCCAGAGCATGGCATCCCATCAGATTCAACTGGAAAACACTTCTAAGGGTCAACAAAAACACCTGGAACTATTTATAGGCTTTTCTTTTTTTGTTTTCTTTTGCTTTTTGTTTTTGTGCTTGTTATTGTCTCTACATGTCTATCTAGATAAGATAGGTGGGATAAATAATTCGGAGATGAAAAGAACAGGACCAATGGTTTTGGGGAGATATGGGAGAAAGGGAGGTGGGAGAAAAGAAGGGGCGGGGGTAGGAGGGTACCAACCCAGGGACACGGGAACAACAAGTGAACTAAAATCAATGGAGAGAAGGGCATAGGATGCCTAGTGGGGCTTAATCAAGGGCAATGTAGCAGCGAGGAATTATTAAACCTTAATGAAGGCCGAACAGGATGGTGGGACAAGAGGAAAGTAAAAGGGAATAGAGGAAAGAACCAGGAGGCAAAGAACATTTATAGAGGTCTAAATACAGGCATGTACGTGTGTGTATAAAACGAAAGGAGAATAGAACTGTGTACTCATATCTATATGTTAAGAATTAAGGTTGCTGATGGACATTAGGCCTCAACTCAAATACTCAACACAAAAACACTTTGTTCTAAAAATCCGGCATTTTGTGATGCTCACCTTCCCTACACAATAGCTGAAGACAAAATGAGGGCATAAGCAAATGTGGTAAAGAAAGCTGATGGTGGCCGGCTATCAAAAGGTATAGCATCTGGGGTCTTAAAGGCTTGAAGATAAACAAGCGACTATCTAGCTGAGAAGCAACAAAGCCCACATGGAAGGAGCACACCAGTCTGTGTGATCATGAGGTGTCAATGGGATCGGGTAACAGGTATCAAAGACCCCGAACAAAAAAATCATATGTGAATGAGGGGAGGGCGGAATGGAGACCCAAAGCAAATCTGTAGACAACTGGACATACCCTCACAGAAGGGTCACAAGGAAGAAACCAGCCAGTCAGGGTACAGTATAATACTGATAAATCATACAACTTTCCTTTAGTTCTTTAATGCTTCTTCCCTCCACACTATCATGACCCCAATTCTACCTTCTAAATCCAGCTAGACCAGAGCATGTGTGTTAGTACAGTGCTGGTACAGGGAATCCAGGACAGATAAACCCTTCAGAACTAATAATGAGAGTAATGATACCAGGAGGGGAAGGGGAAGGTGGGGGGAGAAAGAAGGAACCAATCACAATGATCTACATATAATCCCCTCCCAGGGGAATGGGACAATAAAAGGGTAGTGAAGGGAGACAGTAGTTGGTGGAAGACATGGGGAAAAAAAATTTTTTTTTCCAATTTTTCCCCCCCCAAATACAAATTCAGTGCATTTTATTGCATGGGAATGAACACCAATTGTAATATGAAATCACACTTGCTCAGCAGTCTTCACAGGAGCCGGATGCAGCCAAGACTGCATGAAGGTAAATTACATCACGGAGTAAGAAAGCAACCATCTACAGGGCTGTTCATGGGACTGGAGAATTGAAGGCTAACAAAACTGCTACACAGTGACCACGTGCTCTCACTCCTCCCAAAGGCACAAAGCAACTCTAATCACACCTATTTCTGTTTTCTTTACTCACTGAGATACTGAAAGACTGTGTCACATTCCTTATACTCTGTCACCTGGGAAAATTTTTTTTAATAAATTACCAAGGATTCATGAGGGAGGGAGGCGGGAGGGAAAATGAGCTGATACCAAGAGCTTAAGTAGAAAGAAAATGTTTTGAAAATGATGATAGCCTTTTGGCTCTCTGCACGATGCCATGGCCGTTGGCAAGAACAAGCGCCTTACAAAAGGTGGCAAAAAAGGAGCTAAGAAGAAAGTGGTTGATCCATTTTCTAAGAAAGATTGGTATGCTATGAAAGCACCAGCTCTGTTCAATATAATATTGAGAAAACACTAGTCACCAGGACTCAAGGAACCAAAATTGCATCTGATGGCCTCACGGGTCGAGTTTTTGAAGTGAGCCTTGCTGATCTGCAAAACGATGAGGTTGCCTTTAGAAAATTTAAGTTAATTACTGAGGATGTTCAGGGCAAAAACTGCCTGACCAACTTCCACGGCATGGACCTTATGCGGGACAAAATGTGCTCCATGGTCAAGAAATGGCAGACCATGATTGAAGCTCATGTTGATGTCAAGACTACCGATGGGTATCTACGTCTGCTCTGTGTTGGTTTTACTGAAAAACCGCAATAATCAGATTCGGAAGACCTCTTATGCTCAGCACCAGCAGGTCCGCCAAATCCGAAAGAAAATGATGGAAATCATGACCCGAGAGGTGCAGACAAATGACTTCAAAGAAGTGGTCAATAAATTGATTCCAAACAGCATTGGGAAAGACATAGAAAAGGCTTGCCAGTCTATTTATCCTCTCCATGATGTGTTTGTCAGAAAAGTAAAGATGCTGAAAAAACCCAAGTTTGAACTGGGAAAACTCATGGAGCTTCATGGTAAAAGTAGCAGTTCTGGAAAAACTACTGGTGATGATACAAGTGCAAAAGTGTAATGAGCTGATGGCTGAGCCACCGGTTCAAGAATCTGTTTAAAATTCAGACTTAATGTTGACAAATAAAAGATCTTAGTGTGAGGGAAAAAGAAAATGATGATACCAATATCATGTGCTTCACACAGTGGGTGGGTGGATGGATGGATGGATGGATGGATGGATGGATGGATGATGATAAGAGCTGCAAAAGCCCCCAATAAAATGATTTTCTTTAAAATGGATAGCAATAATTGGCAACGAGCATGTACCATTTCCTGTTTTATGTAATAAAAACTATTAATGGCGCAACATAAAAAGTTGCTTACTTTCTGAGCATGCAGTGTCACCATTAGGAACAACTTCAGATCCTAACTGCAGTCCGTCAAGGCAAACTGACAGGTCGCCGATTGTCTCTGCGGGCTCTTTGTCAGCTACAAGCTGTAAAGTCACAACTACGTCTTCAACTGGAAGAGAGTGAAAGTAGGGGGGAAAGTCGATTGTTTTCCTTTACAGCATCTTAACTACTAAAAATCTAACAGCAAAAATGATGTATATGCATAGAAATTGTTTTAATATACTTCAGCAAGGTTGAGGCCTTTAACAACAACATCTAAAAGGCCAAAACTTGCCAATAATTGATACCCACAATGTAAAGTACTAACATCTTATTTTTTTACTTGTATTTAACCTTTCTAAGACGGCTGTATGAAGGTGAGTCAAAAAGTATCGCTACAAGCCCACAAACACCTTTATTACACACAAGTATCAAATTGTGAAGCTACTGTTTTTCAGTATATCTCCCCCTAGGTCTACATACTCCAGGAGGCAATGTTCCCCATCTCTCTAACACTTCTGTAAAGAATACTATGCTCTTCAATTTATATCACATCAAAACAGCAGATTGGGCATCAAATCAAATACTAATGTTCGTTGAGCTTTGGGAACAAAAGAAGTCTGAAAAGGTAAAAGAAGAGATGTGGGTAAATGAGTTAAGGTTTCCCAAGGGAATTCTCATAGGACAGTCCTTATTATTCTTGAAAAATTAGTGGGAACAAGGTTGTGATAGAAAAACTTTCCTTAGTGCAACTTCCCTTGTCTTACACCCTTGAAGAAAATCTATCAACTTTCTGAGTTAACTTCTCTGCCTTGAACTTAACTGTCCCAGCATATCCTCTTGGAAGTCATTGTTTTGATTAGAGCTTTCTCTTTGGAGCGTTTGGTAAAACTGAGACTGGTGCTTGGTTTTAGTTCAGTCCATAAACTTGTCTTCATTCATATTCATGTTGACCTTCCTAAAAGATTGATGGAAAATGCCTCTGCATGGAAAATGTCTCAGCCCTTTGAGTTAGCTCAGCTTTGTATTATGCTTTTGGAGCCTATCTAGTCGAAAAGCTGAAGATGTTCATTTAAAGTAAAAACTGCCAAACCATGTGAGAACCCAACTTCAGTAGCTACCTCCAGCCATGGCAATTCTATAGTCTTAGTCCACTAATTTCTGGACATCAGAAGTAACTTCTTCATTTGGTGAGGGTGACAGTCAATAGCATGCAAAAACATGTTTAAACACGTGTAAGCTGGAATAGGCCGGTTCTTATATGCCCTAAAACCCTTGGGGCAATACTTTTGGACTTTCCCTCATATGAAATGAGGCACAACGACAACCAAGATTACATATGCCTGAATAAATTATATTGCATTAAAACACTAAACACAAGAAGGACTATCTACTAAGTCTTAACAGATAAAGAAAAATCTTAGAAGTATGTTAGAGAGGAAGCAAAAAAAAAAAAAAATCACATTCTAAGTAAAGCAAGTGTACTTTACAACTGTATACATTTATACTATATACGTATATGTAAATAAACCCACAACCATCAAAACTAATAAATATCTTAAAGTACGTGAAAAAATTGTCAAAATGATTAACCATATTTGTCTCTAATATGAAATTATAATTTTTCCTTCATCTTTGTTTTATATCTTTTACATCAATACTTATTAAAATATTCGATCCAAAATGATCAAGTAAGTTATTAATAATGCTTTAAATAGTTAATCCTATAAATTTGAAAATAAATAGCATGTCATTGTGCATGTTTGTCATATGAATTCTTTTAAAAAAAATAGTTAAGTGAAATTTCTATTATTTTTACATACATACGTTTCATATTGTTTGACTTCAATGTTTCATAAATATCTAATGAAGCACTTCCCAACAAAACATCAGATTTCAGTGTCTGGTGACTCCATACACGAAAATGTAATTTACTCACAGGGGTGACAATACTAAAAGTGAAAAAGGAAGGAAAATAGAATTGTAATTAAATATCATGAGATTCTAAATTAATTACAACTAAGTTTTAATATCTAAAAATCTTCTCGCTGTATAGTTTATATTTTACTATATGGCCAATATTATAGTTGTAATCTTAGAAAAACTGTATCTGACTTTCACATACCAGTACTTACTTGGTCATATTCATTTATGGCTTAATTACCAGGGCAACTGCATATATGTAACATCAAAAAAAAAAAAAATCAAAGCTACTTTGTGTGCTACAAACTGTTAAAACACTAGTTTTACTTTACTGGTAAAATAGAGTACATTTATAAATTATTACTTTATATCAACTACTGTATTGATTTTTAGGTTAATTTACTCTGCACAGCAACATATGAGATGGGAATTATTTCCAATAACTTCAGCATTTTCAGTGGAAAAACTTAACAGTATATTACACAAATTTTGAACACAAATCAGAGCACCTCTAATATCAGAGCCTCTGAAATTCACACAGGTTAAGCAAACTGCCCAGTGCAACAGAGTCAATAAGTGGCTGAATGATACCATTTGAACAAAGTCTTGTCATTAAAATTTGCATTAAAAAATTCCTCGGTCAACTACATGATAATTTGAGGATTACATTAAGTACATCAAGTTTCATACTGCTAGAGGCAATGTGTTCAAGACAATTCCTGAAATGAGTATCAACTCACTCATACCAATAAAGAAGCAAACTTTGGGAAGTTTGAATTTACAATACATATACAAATGATTTAATCAACATTGGAAAAATGAAAACACTAGATAATTTACCAAAGTTCCATTATTAAACACTACAAAGAGAAATTCCAGAAATGTTTGAATTTATCTATACCTTATTCTCTCCAATAATGTGATCAAACATTGTGGACAAAGAAACACATTACTGGAACCGATTACAACGAACTATATGTGACCTCCTCCCTGGGGGACGGACAACAGAAAAGTGGGTGAAGGGAGACGTCGGACAGGGCAAGATATAACAAAATAAACAATTTATAAATTATCAAGGGCTCATGAGGGAGGGGAAGCGGGGAGGGAGGGGAAAAATGAGGACCTAATGCCGGGGGCTTAAGTGGAGAGGAAATGTTTTGAGAATGATGAGGGCAATGAATGTACAAATGTGCTTTACACAATGGATGTGTGTATGGATTGTGATAAGACTTGTATGAGCCCCTAATAAAATGATTAAAAAAAAGAAGAAACACAATACTCCTCAGAAGTCCAACTATGACTATTACCCAACTATCTCATATTCCAATGACCATTTTTAACAATCACAAATAATTTAGACAAAGTTTAAAATATTTTCAACTTAATGCTTCCTTTCTTTTGGTACAATGTATTCGTTCTCATCTTTTCAAGATTCTCAGATGCTAATTCAGAAGAATATGTAACAGGACATACTGTATAAGGAGCATGTTTTCTGCTTGTCAATTGGTGAATCATAATAGGGACAAGAAAAAGAAGATAAATTTTTATTTTTATTACACTAGGGAAAGGAACATAAAGTATGTGATTAAAGAAGGTCTTATCTAAATTACTTTCATTCAAATCTAGAGATGCAGCCTGAAAAACCTGCTATTCATGATGGAACTACAGGCCAGTCTGCAGCAACAGTGGAGCTTGAGCTAAGAATCACCCCTACCACCACCTCAACTCCAAATCTAGGTCAAGCAACGAAACTACTAGATGAGGCTCAGAGGAGAGTTTAATGCCATCACTGGCTTAAGAACTTCAAAGTCCATAGCAAAGATAGATGTTAGGGTAAATTAGATGAGTGCTCAATCTGATATTCAGCTGATTATCTCTGGCCATTATGAAAGTTGTGGCCTTTATAAAAGTCATTTATTTTTAATTTTTTACTCAAATAAAATTGCTTAGAACCATAATCACTAATTAATCATAAGCAGAATGCCTAGGAAACATTTAATGTTGAAATAAATACTACATAATGATTATCCTGAAATGAGTCAAGATTATTTTCTGTCAATTCTTAAATGTCATTCATTTGATGAGAATCATAACCAACATAAAAGATGCTCTTAGAATGTAAAAATCCATGTTAAGGAATATAGTAAGCATATCCATTGTTTTATCATTTATTAGGAACAAATAATGTCCATGTCAGCAGTTTATATGTGAAAAGAAGAGCTTACTGTAATTTCAAACTTCTCACTTCACTATTTAAAAACTAAACAGTTTTAGTACATTAGCTTATTTCTATAGGAGATAAATACAAGAATTACAAATATCAGGTAATGAAAACTATATTTGCTATACTAACAACTAATTACATTTTAAACATAATCAAATATGATTATCAAATAAAATATGCTGTTATTTCAAATTTATTAAATCATACTTTTCTACTTCAGTAAAAAAAATTGTTAACCTATAATTTCCTTTGACTAGTGGTCTTAAGTTTAATACCAACAATTGAATTTTTTGTTAGTAAGTGTTAAAACTTAGCTATATGTTAAGTCTAAGAATTCATCCTACAGAGAGAAACACTAACAAAGATAAAAATACAAAGATGTTTATATAAACACGTCTAATCATGCACTAGAAAGTTAATAAATTCAGAGAAGGCGATTAAAACAAAGTACAGTTTATGCAGGTGAAGGAATATTATGTAACTATGTAAGTAATATTAGACCTACATACACTCAGCTGGAAAAATGCGTATGATACAAGTGTTAAGTACAAAAGCTTATAGACGAAAATGGGTAATTGTTTCATTTTTTTAAAATCCTTTTGTGCATTTGTATGGGCATTATAATTAAAAAAATTAAAAGTACTACGTGTAAAAATTTAGTTGAAAAGGAACCTAAAAATCTTTCTAGATTTGTGACCATGGGCTCTCCCAGCTGTTGCTCAGTAGCAACAGTGATACCATCACCTCCTAAGCTGGAGGAGGTAAAGAAAGGGAGAATGGAAACAACAAAGAGACAATTTTCTAAAGAGAAACAAAAAGGAGGCAAGGACTGGAGAAAAAGAGGAAGAAAAAAATTAGAAAAAGGAAAAGCCAAAGAAATCAAGTGAGCAAAAAATTGAAAAGGTGCATTTCTGATAACTTAACAAAATACACTCTAGCAAATGCTTACACTGTAAGCAAACCTACACTGTAAGTGGTTGCTTCCATTTGGGACTGTTCGTATTGTTGCATTTTTCTGTCTTCTTTGACTGTCCATCTACTATGACTTCCACATAAGGACTTGGTCCAAACCAATTCTTTTTATTTTCTTTGAGTTTCGCTGAGATGACTATTTAAAAGAAAAAACATTTCAATAATTGAGATTAGTATATATGACTTCCCCACATCACCTACCTAAATTCCCATCAATAGACCCCCAACTACCAATTCCAGATCTTTTAATATCTATTAAAGTACATCAACAAACACAATTAACAAATATTTGAATGCCTACTATTTGTAGATATCGCTCTAAATTCTGCTAATATAACAGTGTATAGAATTACAAAATACCCTAGCTCTCAAGAGATTAAATTCCATACAGGGTTAAATTCTTGAGAAAAAACAGGTTGATGTGTCAAAATGTAACTTGGTGTTAAGGCAAGGCCTCTAAGGAAGTGACTTTTAAGCAACTATCTAAATGGCCGGATGGTGGCGGCGGTGGTGCAGCATTGTGGAAAATTGGGGTTGGAGAGAAAGGAACATTCCATGCAGAGGCTAAGGAACTTGGCATATCTGAGATTTAAAAAAAGTTTATCAAGCACAAAATAGTAAATGAGATTATCACATTTATTTTTGTAAACCAAGATAAGGAATTGGAATTTTATTTTAAGTTTAATCGAAAGCCACTGAAGGAAGAGGATTACAAACTACTGGGTGTTTTTTTTCTTCTTCTTCAGAATCTCATGTTGTTAATTGCTGTCAATTTGATCCTGAGTCACGTTGACCCCACATACAACAGAATAAAATGTTGCCCAATCCTGCACCATTTCCATAATTACTGATAGGCTTGACTCCATTTTTGCAGCAACTGTGTATTTTTAGTGCCTTCCAACCTAGGAGGCTCGTATTTCAGCATCATATCGGACAATATTCTGTTGTGATCCATAGTTTTATCATCAAGTTAGTCACCTTTACCCAAAAGTAGCCTTTTATATCCTGTTGGGAGGGTACAAGAAGAGAATCAGCAGAACACCCATGGCTCCCAACTCATAAAGCAATCCTATCCAAGTACCCTAGGAGCCCTGGTGGCAGAGTGGTTATGTGTTGATTTACTAACTGCAAGGTCAGCCGTTTGAAACCACCAGATGCTCCAAGGGAGAAAGACATTGCTATTCCTGTAAATAGTTCCAGTCTCGGAAACTCACTAGGGCAGTTTTTCCCTGTCCTATAGTCACTCTGAGTCAGAAGCAACTCAACTACAGTACGTTTGGTTTTTAGTATTCAAGTAGTACTTGATCACTTAGATATCTACTTTAGCTGCAAAGTAAGTTCAGAGGATGCCAGTACTTAAGGTTAGTGAGGCCTGAAGTGAGTACAGCAATGTGTATTCTGACTACTCAAGAAGCTTGATATAGAACCCAAAGTTCAGTCTGGGGATCTGGGCACAGCTCACTGGTGGTCCTGAATCTGACTTCACATATATCAAACTTCTGTCTTTTTGGTGGCATGTCAATCACCGAAGCATCGAAGTACGGTGAGTGCTCTAACCAATATCCACCCCTACACAGTCCTCTGGCACTCTAATCACCCTCTGCTTTTTTGCCATCCCTCTGTAAGGGCGCTCTGCCATGTATCTGCATGCCTCTATATATGCTGCTCCCTGCAACGATAGTGTTTTTTCCTTTTCACTCGATAAAATCTTTTATCTCAGGGGAAAATGTGTCATACATTTTTAACTGAATGCTTCTTTAACTCTAAAAGTTCAATTGCTCCTGTGTCTATGCTTCTTACATGGCATTTTATTTGGTCTTGTGATGAGTTTTTACTTCTCTTATTTTTTTATTATTAAATACTTTTATTGGAGGCTCTTACATCTCTTATCACAATCCATACATTTATCCAGTGTATCAAGCACATTTGCACATATGCTGCCATCCTTTTCAAAGCATTCTCTAACCACTTGAGACCCCGATATCAGCTACCCAATTCTTTCCCCCACCCTGCCCTCCCTCACGAACCCTTGATAAGTTATACATTATTATTATTTTCATATCTTACATTGTCCACCATCGCCCCTCATCCACTTTTCCATGTTCGTCCCCCTGAGATGGGGGTTATAGGTTGATCCTTTCTCCCCCCACCATCCCCTAATCTTCCTGGTATCTCTACTCTCATTGTTGGCCCTGGGGGTATTTATCTATCCTCAATTCCCTGTGTTGGGGCTCTTACCTATAGCAGTGTGCAAGCTCTGGTCAAATCCAATTTGTAAGGTAGAATTGAGGTCATGATAGTGGGGTGAAGGATGCACCAAAAAACTAGAGGAAAGTTGTGTGTTTCATCAGTGCTATACTGCAGCCTGACTGGCTCATCTCTTCCCTGTGACCCCTCTGTAGGGGGATGTCCAATTGTCTACAAATGGGCTTTGGGTTTCCACTCCATGCCCACCCCCCATTCACCTCGGCTATGATTTTGTTCTGCATCTTAGATGCTTGGTACCTGATCCCATCAACACCTTATGATCACACAGACTGGTGTGCTTCTTCCTGTGGACTTTGTTATAGATGGTAGCTTGTGTATCTTCAAGGCTTTAAGACCCCAGATGCTGTATCTTTTGATAGCCAGGCACCATCAGCTTTCTTCACCACATTTACTTATGCACCCATTTTGTCGTCAGCGATTCCGTAGGAAAGGTGAGCATCCCAGAATGCCGGATTTTTAGAACAAAGTGTTCTTGTGTTAAGGGAGCATTTGAGTTGAGGCCCAATGTCCATCTGCAACCTTAATTCTTAACATATAAATATGAGTACACAATTCTATCCCCCTTTCGTTATTATACACACAGGTACATGCCTGTATTTAGACCTCTATAAATGTCCTTTGCCTCCTGGTTCTTTCCTCTATTCCTTTTTACTTTCCTCTTGTCCCATCATCCTGTTCGGCCTTCATTAAGGTTTAATAATTCCTCACTGCTACATTGCCCTTGATTAAGCCCCACTAGGCATCCTATGCCCTTTTCTCCATTGCTTTTA